GCTCAGAGAGCTAACGGTCATTGTTCCAGGGGGACTTAAACGATTCAGAGGATCAACGCACAGAGTGCAAGGAGTAGCTGCCTTATCAAGGCGTTGCTACCTCTTTAAAGATCCAAGATGCCTCAAAAGACACGTGTCTATCGGATTGAAATGGGAACTGTATTTTATTTCTTTTTGTAACCTAAAAGAACACCTTAGAATAACGAAATTAACCTGCTCGCTAATGTCCCGAATATACCTCTCAAAAGATCTCGTAATCAATGGTTGACATACATCAGTCTTCGACAATTGATACTGTGTTCCGATATTACTTTAAAAGGGGATCCCATCCCTTGTGTGCACCACACAAATTGTCGACTACTAGTAGACGTGTAACCCCTTTACACCCTTTTATACCAGACTGATGTTACCACAAAACGTGAATCGAATATTTTTTTAAAGAGGACGGTGTGTGTTCGCTTCAACCTTCACGGTTGGTAGCACGCAAACCACCAAGGCATCGCCACCCCATAGGTCCTTAACTCTCTCTTCCTACCTCGGCATTGATGTGGGGGTTGATAATGGTAGTGATACCGATATCCATTAGACGAGAAGACAATGTCCGACTCACCAGTACAAGAGGCACCGCCTCATACTGCACCAAATCCATTTGCTGAGCGTGGCGAAGCCAACGCGCCATCGACGCCGCAACAAACACCCATCGTGGGCGATGCCATCATCACCAATCCGCTTGATGATCAACAACAGTTGGCTATACAACGAGAGGAGAGCGCTCAGCGCCGTATGCAGCTTGCTGCAACGCTTGAGGGTCGTCGTGGCTATCTGTTCACACCACTCAATGTGGAAGAGCGTAAATTCCAAACGACGGGTCATTCTTTGACAACGAGGACCATTGGCGCTGATTCAACATCTTCTGATGAGGCGTCAAGTCGACAGGCACTTCGCGAGAGGTACCTGCAACCTTACTTGACGACTCAGAGTTAATACAAGTTGCGACTTGATACGCAAGCACGGGGTGCACCGGTTCCACCAGTGAAGGGTATACCCATCCTCCTACTAGCAGGCGAATCTCAGGAGGAAGAAGACGACGCTTTTGCTCGCTGGGTGCATCGGAAACAACACCTCAGCAGCATGTTAGCTCTCAGAGCAAGTGCTATGATGCCGATGTCGATTAGGTCGACATCGATGAAGAAGATCACCTCAATAATAGCGGCGACGCTATTAATGACTCGGATGATGATGACGATGCTGGTATATTCAGCATCGTCAACGATTATGTCAGCGAGGAAGAAGACAACCTCGCTGAAGAAGAGAGCAATCTCTTAGCAGTGCGCACGAAGCGCACTGGAAGACAAAACAAAGAGTCAGCAGAGAACTTCCTGCTGACTCGAGAAGCGGTAGTCCGTTTTGTTCAGGACTCCATCGCAAATGCGGTGGACCGTCAGAAACGGAACGCAGACAAGAATGGAAGAGCAAATGTTCTTTCATTTAAGGTTAATGACCTAGTACTACTGTCAACGGTAAACTTACCTGGACATGCAGTCACTAGTGTCGGCAGTAGTAAACTACTGCCGAAATACATTGGACCATTTCGAGTGTTGCATCGCAAGGGCAATGCATACACGATCGAATTGCCACGTAAGATTCGCACGCATCCTACGTTTTACGTGGGGAGGCTTAGGTCGTACTGTCAGTACGAGCCTTCTTCTTCCGATGAAGATAGCCCCCACGTTCAAGAACATCCATCGAGTTCTTGCGTTCGCGCTCCAGACGATCCGTATGGTCGCGCAGATATGATACCTCGGTACTCAACCGAGATATCTCCCCGCGAGCTGTCGCCAGCTCGCCGAATAGGGAGCGGACATCCTGCTCGACCTGAAGCTGCGCTGTGGCATAATCGGCGCGATCCCTCGCCCGATCAGCCTCGTGACCCTTGCGGTTCTTCCGCACGGTATCGGTCAAAGCGTAGCGCCGGTCGCGCTCGTGCTTCAAGTCATCGCGCAATTCATCGATTGCGCGATCCATCTCGTAAGGGTCAAGATGGTGAACCGAATCATCTGGAAGAGGTCTTTCCTCCTCCACCACATCCTTTGGTGGATGCGCACGGTGATCAACGCTTTCTAGTGGAGCGTATCTTGAATCACCGTGACGATTCAGGATCAAGGACGAGCTACCTCGTCCAGTGGCGGGGGTATCCACCCTCTTGGAACAGCTGGGAGCCCCGCTCTCAGCTGTTTATGGACGTTGAAGGTCTCGTCCGCCAGTATGACGAGACTCATCCGGTGAGTCCTGTGGCCCATCGGTAAACACGCGCTTTTGACGCTTGTAGACGGATTGCAAGTTTGCAATCGCGTCACGCATCTCAGCCGAGATGTGTGCCCTTCCCCAGGGCGAACTTAGGGAATACACATCCCTATGTGCACGCTGCGAGTTGTCAACACAACTCGCACAAGGGAATCCCCATGTGAGGCAAGGAATGCCTGCCTCACTCGATAAACAATGCAACCGGTACCTAGCACCGGTTGGCGTTCGCCTTTCGAACCTGAGGCGTGTCGCCTCAAGTTTCTTGAGCCACCCTTCTCGTCCAAAATTCTTTACGTTTTGGACGAACGCGTTCCACACAGCCAAAAGCGAGGCCTTGTCACGCTTTTGGTTGCTGTTGTACCATCGATGTCTAAGGAAGACATCGAGATAAAAGTCTTCCTCAGCGCGAAAGTTCTTCGCGCTGGAACTCAAGCCGTGAAGCTCAGTTGCATCGAATAAGGGTAATCGATGGTGTTGGCCTATCTCTTGAGACAGGCTATTGATGAGCCGTTCGGGCAAACGCCACGGCTTCGACTCATCACGCTTCACAGTAGTACCCTTGTCGGTACCACAACTCCCAGATTGACGACGGCTCACACCATCTTCATCACGCTCGTGCGAAGACGCACGAGCCGGTGGTGGTGAGGAATAGAATTCCTCACCACCCTGATCATCTTCATCACTGCCGAACAGACTGTGATGCAAATCACGAGTCCGTTAGTTCGGCAGTGGTCTTGGCGAATACTGAGGCGTCGCCGGTGAGCGAGACGCCTCTGGAGCATTGCCCGAGTCAGACACGTCTGACTAGCCAGAGTAGATGACCTCTACGTCGAGGTCATCATGCGCACGCGGTGTGATACCCCGTGCACCTGCAGCACCTGTTGCTTCAGGCGAAGAAGGGGCAGCAGACGACGAAGCGTCTGCCGCAGAGGCTTGCACAGCACCGGGCTGTGTGGGTCTTGAGTCACCTCGCATAGACATGTTAATTATGCGAGGTCAAGCGGAAAGTGAATGGAACGGACCCAACAAGTGCTCCCTGTCCCAACGGTGGCCAACGGGTGGCCTCCATATCTTTGATAGTCACACGGTGACTATCAGCTAAGGGGGGTGATGTAACGGGGCAGCCCGTTACATGAAATTGTCACTTTACGGAAAGTGACAATAAAGAATATAAAGATGGATATTCTTTAAACAATATCACCAAAGTGGTGATATTGAAGGGTCAACCAAAGGGTCTGTTCATTGGTTGATATCGTGATGATATCAACCCACCAATCGCCGCAAGACGCGCGCAATAAGTGGTGACGAGACGTCACCATACATCCAGTTATATTAGTATAGTTAAACTAAGTCAAACGAAGAGACAGTGGTTAAAAGACTTAATTATATTAATATAACAGTTCTGCTTTTACCTTACTTACGGTCCTAGCTTGCCTTGTGTACGTCTGTCGGGGCACCGATACACTTGTGTTAAGTTCACGCAAGGGTGTGCCCCGTTACATTCGCTGCGCCCGAAATCCACTCCCACGATGTGAACTCTCCTCAGAACGTGATGATCTGTTGAGATTCAGTACCGGTCGTTCATGTAGAGTAAGCACCAGGTCACGATAATATTTGTTTAATGGTGCACCTGCGCACGTCCGCATTAGATTGTGCAATAGGATCGACCCGAAGAGCAGAGCAAGTCGGTCACCACGAGAGCGACCAGGCATTACTTTAAGGTGGCACGCTGGGACTTCCTGACTGGAAAAACTCCTAGCCATGCGTTTTCTGTCCTTTGAAGCAGTGGAAGCGCGACGAGACGCACAGCCCAGCCATCCTGACAAGAGTGCGCACAACGTTCTAACCTCGGACTTGGTCAACAGTTATTACCACGTGGCCTTTCGAGAGTGCCCCCGTGACGTCTGGAATATTAAGCCGAATGAGGAACGTGGTAGGAGAAAGTTCGTGCCATGATAGATGGCCACGGGCGTGAGATCTGTAGTCAGAAGTCGGTACATGATCGTTTACGCTACTTTTTGTATTGACTTGCCACATATCACTACGGTCGATGCTACGCCACATCGACTAGCTTCGACTCGCAATAACGGCGCTCAGATTCGATCGGTATTGTTTGTGGCAGCATGGTCTCGTTTGCTTGCTAGAACGTACATTGCGTAACACGCACTTGATGCAAATGGTTTACCAACGTCGTCAAAACATCGTGTTGACACGCAGCTGCTTCTTTCTTCTTTCTCCGGCGTCCTCTTGACCACCTGTCGGCGGGATCATTGCATTCGTACGCTTGCAGGCAATCGCGAGAGCAAAAAGTAGCACGGGCAAAACATCCTGAACTCCTTAGTGCAAACGCGTGGTGCTTTCTCGTAGCTCGCTGGCACTCGATCTGCCATGTCTTGGTACTGCTGGTACGCGCGGCGCGCCCAGTTGGGTTATGAGCCAACTGTTGTTGGGTCGCTTGACAATGACAGGTGGTGGCCTCGCCAGGGTAGCGATAGCATAGTCACGGGGATTCTTGACGGGGAGGGCTGACGTAGCCGATTCGAACGCGGGACCAAAGGTCAGCAATTGTGCTGGTGAACCCGCGTCGCTCACTTCACCAGACTTGGTCGTCATTCATACTGTCTTGATCGCGGGCAGAGACTTCATGAAATAATCATGGATCAACTGGGCAATCGATTGACGCACAGCGCTCATCTTCAGGTCCTGGAACAAGAGGGGAGAGCCAAAGATGCGCTCAAAATCAATTCCAACTGTTTTCTTTGCTGCGTCGTATCGGGGAAGACGCCGGCCACGAAGAACTGGTACAGACGGTGACGTCCGACAAATTCATCGCGTTGTCCGACATTGGTTCCTCCTTCTAGAAGTACCGCAAACGCATCGACAGCAGTGGCATCGTTCAAGTCGAAAGTAGGAGCAAGTCGCAACGACATTGCATCATCCCCATCAGCAGTTGTCACCATTATGGGCTGAGCAACCAATTGGCTCATGTATCGGTCTGACAAGGCAGCCACACTCGATCTATCGATCACAAGAACCGCCCGGGGTCGGACAGTAAGGTGTGCGTTCCAGATCAGCTCCGTCACTTTTCCAGGAAGACCTGATAAACGCCACAACTCATTCGGAGTCTCAAAGTTACCGAACAGATCAATCACTTCCACTAGCGGAGCTGGTAGCTCGATATCGTTGACCAGACGGAGCAGGGAGTGCCATTGACTAGTAAGACAGGTCTGCGCGGGGGAGCCGGTACTGGCGAGCTTCGTGGACAGCATCAGATAGGCGACACGTCGCAAATGCTCTTTGAGCATGACGAGTGAGTTGCACCGGTGACCTGCATCCATTCCAATCAGACCCTCGATAGCGTCAGCGCACTGATTCGAGAGAATGGTCGTCACGTCTTCCCAGTTGTACATGTCCACGTCGAAGATCGTCGCAGCTGACTCGAGACGCCTGACATCGAAGTCTCGAACCACGGGGTAAAAGGCAAACTGTAAACGGGTCGTCTTGTCACCCTCGAGCATCGGGCGGGACCCGATGGAGTCTGTTTTCTTCGGACGCTTTGTTGCTGGTTTCTTGGGTCTGCGAAGATCCTCGTGCCACACGAGCTCGCACGCGTGATCCGAGTGCTGCTCCGATAGCCGAGACATGGCCTGCTCACGTGTTTCTCCCTTCCGAGGTCGGACTGAGTGCTGGGGACGCATGTTCCGAGCGACTTAGATCGACGATGTGGCCTGAAATCCAAAGGTTACACTTTTTGTGCGACAGGTGTGAGACTTGACTTCGCTTTTGGGATTCCTTTGATCGGGATATAGTATCACCGTCTGGTGCCGTGTGGTTGTGGAAGTTGTTCGATCCGCTTGTGGTGAGACGTTCCTCTTTCATCAACCGGTTGCACCATGCTTTGGCAAGTAGGCAAACGCTTAGTAAAGCGAAGCGAATGCAGCGAATCTACGCTGTGGTGATCCAGCTTATAGGGACAGTCCAAACTATGAGCATTTTCACGATAATTCTTCTGGAAATGGAAGCTCACGTTTCTGTCCAACTGCCTGGACGCGACCGAATTTGGCTGGAAGAGATTTGTGACTCCAAGTCTTGTGCAACTTGTTGATGGATGAGTGATGAAGTTGGTAATAGTCATGAAGATTGACGGGGGTTTCCGTGAAAACGTTCCTCCTCGTGCTGTAAGCACGTTGCTTTACATGCATAAGAGATACACAATGAATTTCGCTTTGCTTTTGCCACTAACTGCGCACAACACACTATTAGATGTCAAGGGGTGCTGCCTAGAAGAGTCGAGCTCGTCAGCACTAAAAAAAGTGGACGTGGTGAGTGCTGCACTCGAATTGGGAGGAACTTCTCTCTCTCACTAAGATCTGGCACTTTTCGTAG